ATATATATATATACATACGTTTTTACAAACCTGTATTGCTACACTTCCTAAAGGATGCCCTAGGCCTCCATCACCCTATTATCTGTGTCCATGGGTTATGCATATATGCATATAAGTTCTTTGGTTGGTCTCTTCTAAACCACCCATCCACTCCTGCCTTCCCTCTGAGATCACATAGTCTCTTCCATGCTTCCATGTCTCTGGATCTATTATGTTCAACAGCTTATTTTGTTCATTAGATTCCACACATGAGTTGAGATCATGTGATATTTGTCTTTCTCTGACTGGCTTATTTCCTTTAGCATAATACTTTCCAGGTCCCTCCATGCTATCTCAAAGGGTAAGAGATCCTTCTTTTTAATCCTGGACAGTATTTTATGGTGTAATTATATCACAGCTTTTTTATCCACTCATCTACTGATGGGCACTTGGACTGTTTCCAGATCTTCACCATTGTAAATTATGCTGCTATGAACATAAGGGTGCATACATTCTTTCTGATTGGTGTTTTGGGATTCTTAGGATATATTCCTAGAAGTGGGATCATTGGATCAAATGGGAGTTCCATTTTTAATTTTTTGAGGAAAACCCTGTTTTCCACAGTGGCTGCACCAGTCTGTATTCCCACCAGCAGGGAACTGGGGTTCCCTTTTATCCTCATCCTCAACAGCACTTCTTGTTTGTTGATTTATAGCTATAACTTTATTGATTTCAAACCCTTCTCAAATATAATTCTATAGCACATTCATAATCATTGTCTTCATGGTGAATGTTTTTCCCATGCAAGCTGACTGTATTTTAACCTTATGATTTTCAGAACTCTATCTTTGTCAAATATTACTTGAGCATAATGGCTTAGGCCAATTTTTGGAGTCTCTGTTCTGTTCCATTGATCTATATACCTATTCTTGTGCAAGTACCAGGCTATTTTGATTACAGTGGTTTTGTAGTATAACTTGATAGCTGGTATTGTGATCCCTCCAACTTTGTTCTTCTTTCTCCAGATATCCGTGGCTATTCAGTGTCTTTTTTTGTTTCCTTATAAATTTTTGGAGTATTTGTTCTAGGTCTGTGAAATATGCCATTGGTAACTTAATAAGGATTGCATTGAATCTATAGATTGCTTTGGGTAGTATGGACATTTTAATGATGTTGATTCTACCAATTCACTGCCTAGCGTCACTTGGTAGGAGTTACAGAGAGATCTGCAGATGGCTGCTACTTGTATTGGGCTTAGAAGTGCCCAGGTGAGGCAGGCTGGTGCTAGTACCAGGTTTTGGGCCTCTTATTGATAGGTATGGGGCACTCCGAAGTCAGCTGCTGCTTGTTTAAGAGATTTTAGGAAAGTCTGAAGCCTGAACCAGGAGAGGCCATTCATATAGAAAAGCTGTTGCAAACAGCTTTGGTGGGGCTGCAAATTAGATAAGGTGGGGCCTCGGGGAATCACCAGGGTGAGTGAACAGTGTGAGCTACACTTATGGAAACTCAGATATGGCTGCCAGTCAGCTCTGGGACAGGGGAGGTCTCAGCATAGGAACAATGACACCTGCAAGCACCCATCTGGGAGGAAGCCACCCCTGAGGGTTCTTGCTCTAATGCCAGACAATCAGTTCCTCCCCTAATGTCCCAGGTTCCTTTCAAGCCATCACCCCAGAGTTGGAGTTCAGAGGGATCAAGTGCGAGTAAGTCCATGCACCGGCCCTTTTAGGGGAACTCCCTGCGATTCCAGCAGCTTCTGTGCCACTCAGCCACAATCTCTGCTGGTTTTTATAGCCCAAAGTTATAGGACTTCTCTTCCCAGCTCTGGAACCCTGGGCTGGGGGGGTCTGGTGTGGGGTGGGTCCCTTTGCTCCTCACAGGAGGCCCCCAGAGCCACATAACCCTCCTGATGAAAACAAAACAAAACACCACACATTGGTGTCAGGCCATCCCATCCATGCCTCTCCCCCTCCTACTAGTCTCCATGTGCTTTCTTCTTTACTTCTCTAGTTGCAGGACTTCCATTCAGAGTATTATCATTTGCATTATTTATAAACATAACAGTATCAGCATATTTATAGAAGGGGAATTGAGGCAAAGTAGAGAATAATAATCCTCAAGATTACATTAACAAATTGTGGTCAGATTAAAAATTAGAACCTAGTGTTCCTGTTAGATATTGGGAGTTATTCATTATGCTATTACTAGAGGCCTGTTGCACAGATTCGTGCACCAGTGGGGTCCGTTGGCCTGGCCTGCACTCTCTCACAATCTGGGGCCCCTCAGGGGATGTTGGAGAGCTGATTTTTGTCTGATCCCTGCAGGCCTGATCCAGACAGGAGGGAGCCCAATCCTGTATGTTGAGCGTCTGTCCCCTGGTGGTCAGTCCGCATCATAGCAATCAGTCGACCGGTTGTTTGTTCACTTAGGCTTTTATATATATATAGATTTTTTCAGTTTACATATCATAAATGTAACAAAATAATTTAAACATAGTATGAGCCTGACACTTTAAAAAAAGTTAATGAAAGAAAGAATAAAACAGATGCTGAAATAATGTCATACAACCAAATTTTCCCTAACTAGTAATTCAAGTAGATGGTTAAGATTTTTCTATTTTGCATGATAGATTTCTGAACGATCAGAGATACTTCATGCTAATAATTTACTGGATGAACACAGAAAGTCCATTGGTATGGTTTTGTCATTTGAATATGTATTCAATTTCAGAAAACCAAGGTTTAAAAGGTGACTACAGATATAAGCAAATTTAATTTCTTCCCATCATCTGATAAAGATGTTACAAAAGTTAAGTTACAGAACCTTTTTGTCTCGTTTTTGTTTTCTAAATATAAATTAGTATGCTGGCCAAACCTTATTTCTTGTGGGATAGTCAAAAGATGGTTAAAAAAAAATCTATAGTTAATTACTATCATTTGTGGAGTTCTTACTATGGGCCACGAATTATCTAAGCCTTTCACAATTGCACACATGTAATCCTGGTATCTATCTATCTGGTACTATCATTATACCCACTTCTCAAATGAGGAAACTGAGGGCCAGGGAGGTGAAGCAGCACAGCCTCTAACTCCAACAGCTGGGACCCAGTTTACACACTAAAGGTTCCAGAAAGCAAAGATCCTCCCAAGCCACTTCGCTTTCAGGAATGTCGAGAGTTCCGGGAGGAACTTTGTAAAACAATTGACAGCTCTTGCCCTAGTCCGGGGTCAAGGGGCAGCTCGGCCACGCCCCCGGCCCTACGCTCCGCCCAGCCACGCCCGCCCGCTCCCCTCTCTCCTTCCACCGCGCCCTGCACCCCGTCTCCCTAACTCCGCTCCTCCTGGGCGGTCCCGTGCCGGGCAGTGCCCCGCGCCCCTCCGGCAGCGCCCGGCTCAGCGCTGCGAATCACGTGG